CTGTATGTTTTTTTATGTATGTTACCTCATAACTTTATACTGGGTGAACCGATTTCGGTGATTCTTTTTTTATCTGAAAGCTGGTGATTCTCATGTGCTCCCATATAAATTTGATCAAGGTCAGACCAATAGTTTTTGAGTCATTCTTAATAATTTATATTGAAGTCGGTTGTACAAATTTTTTAATTTTAAATTATTATTGTATTTAAATGGCTCAACCAATTGCGATGAAACTTTACGAACAGATAGAGGGCAATGCGAGGAGGGATCTAGGCTATATTTTATCTCAAACATTTGAGGAAATTAAAAAAATAACGAAAATTTTACAAAATAAAGGGTTTTGATTAGCATAAATCTAAATAACGATACAATAATAGATCAAGGTGAAACCGGGACGGGTCGTCATAGACTGCCTTTTGACGTAGTTGCCGCACTTGGCAAGTGAGTTGACAGTCGCAGTTTTTTCTACTAACTTCAAAAAGGAGACGGTACTCAATTCGACTGTATATTTTTTTATGTGTGTTACCTCAAAATTTTTTTCTGGGTGAACCGATTTCGATGATTCTGTTTTTATTTGAAAGTTGGTGCTTCACATGTGGTCCCCTATAAATTTTATCAAGGTTTGACCAATAGTTTTGACTTATTCTTAATAATTTATATTGAAGTCGGTTGTACAAATTTTTTTTTACTTTTAAATTAATTATTTTCTACTTGTTATTAGGAAAACGCTGCTGCCTACATGCGGTGGTAGAATATTCTTACACTGCCATTACAACTTAATTTTAATGAACCGGAGGGCATATTACCGTTACTACGAAATTATTCATTACAATATATTATACTTGTTTTCTTTGACAAAAACTTTATATAGTTAAAAATATCATAATAAATCTAGCAAGCTAACAGCATAGCAAAGTGGCGAAGCAATCAGCTTTTTAGCAGTTTCTAACGGTTGCCGTTGAGCAATCAGTTTCAAAATAGGAGGTTCAGATGCCTGGGTGATCAGTAATCGATTGCTGAAAACAGAATTTGAAAATTCAAAACCGTTTTCGAGATAATCGTGGGACAGACGGACAGACGGAGAGATGGACAGACGGACAGACATCGTGAAATCAATAAGTGACTTCGCAAGCTTCGCCACTTAATAAAGCAGTAACACGTATGACAAGTAAGTATAAATTAATATTATGACTGCTTGGTAACATAAAAAGACGCAATTCAAATTCTATTTCCTCTTTGAATATGTTTGTAAATTTTTAACATTTGTTATCGTCACATATACACAAATACGCTTCCTTAAAATCCGGTATAGTTTTCGTAATTCTAGGTGTATTTTTACATTACTAAAAAATAAATTATAAAAAAATCTTTACTTAGGAACTATAGGTCAGCCGGCGTAAGTGAAACTGAAATCAAATACACATTGTATTTGTTTTCAGTTTCATTACAGTTTAAATTTATAAATAGTATTACTTAGCCTTGAATAATAAAAATATCCGAACATCTAAATTCTGTTGTATTTTTATGTTGAAATTGTGTGGAATGATTCCGTTATTACGTTATGATATTAAACTTGTTTTTGAACTACTTGTGGTGTAATCACAATAATATACTCATTTTACCGTCAGGCTAAATACGAGTAGCTTGGGTTCAAATTAGGGTTGCCACTTTTTTTTGAAAAAATATAGTATTTTTTCCAAAAAAGATGCAAAAATAATTTTCGGTAATTCAGGAAAAACTTGTACACATTTGTAAAGCTTTATGTATTTTTCCAAATACATATTTGTTATTGCTTTTCGCTTTGACCATCAATGATATATACCTTTAAAATAATGGTAGGAATCTAAGGAATTTAGATTCATGTTAAAATAAATTACAATTATTTTTTATTAAATGAATACATTGGTTCTATTTCTTTGTTCTTTCGATTTTACATTGATGACAGAAAATATTGTTTCCGTAAAACTTACTCGTCAGACTTCCAGTCTCAGTTATTATAAAAAAAAGCGCGACAGTGTAATTAGGGGCATAATATAGTATTTTACATACTATATTATTTTTCTATAATATATAGTACAACTAGCTGGCCAGGCAGACGTTGTTCTGGCCTCTCCGACGACCCTGTGCCCTATAAAAATTCTTAAATTCGTAATAAAAACAATTGAGGGTCACTTATAGGAATAAAAACTATCCTATCTCTTAAGTTGGACCAAACTGCACACAGTGTGCAAAATATCATTGCAATCAGTTTAGTAGTTTAGGAGTTCATCGCGGACAAAAAATGTGACACGTAATTTTTATATATAAAGATTGACTACTATACTATATATTACAGTACGAGTTGCAACCCTAGTTCAAATGTCATAAAGGAAAACTTTATAAATTCGTATTAGATAAATATCTAGAATCTAAAAGAGATACGGGTTGCAATTATGAAATGAAATAAAATATATTGTTTTTTTTAGATTAGACGTAAGAAAATAAAAGTTCGTTTCACAAAAGTAATTTTTTCTACTAACTACCGTTTCGAAAAGAGGTTCCTCTGACTGGAGAAGAAACGGAGAAAGAAACTCCACAGCTATCTTATTTTTGTCATAAAAAAATTAATATTGAATAGCATAGTATATATACTGTGCTATGCAATATCGCTTGTATGTGTAGCTTAGAATACCAAGAACCGACAACCGGGGAAGAAAGCTTCTCGAGTGGCAATCTCGTACCGATAGGCGATGTGTAGGGCGTTAGTGGCGGCCCCACACTAGATGGAGTGGCAACCTGGTAAGACATGAAAGTCGATGGATGCAGGTGGTTCAAGACCGTACTTTGTGATGTTCCTTCCTTCGTTTATTGAGCAGTGGACTTTTGAAGTGCTGTACGTAATGATGATAATGATGATGATAGTATATACAGAATTTAAAACGATAACAGACTCATAGGCAACTGAAGTATGTTCTATAATACACTCGAAAAAGGAAGATTAAAAATTTAGAGCTTATCAGAGTATAGCGAAACTGAGAAGTCTGTCGAACATGTTCACAGCATAGAATAGAATACTTTTTATTCAATATAGATCAAATGTGTAATTATTATTGAAAGTCATTTTCTACCAACTTCAAAAAGGAGCCGGTACTCAATTCGACTGTATGTTTTTTTTATGCGTTACCTCATAACTTTTTACTGGGTGAACCGATTTCGATGATTCTTTTTTTTATTTGAAAGCTCGCGCTTCACATGTGGTCCCATATAAATTTCATCAAGGTCTGACGGTTTTGGAGTTATTCTTAATAATTTATATTGAAGTCGGTTGTACAAAATTTTAATTTTAAATTATTTACTTTACCAATGGTTCGAAAAAACCTGTCCTGGGAAGAACCAGCAAGAAACAAGTATGCGTCTTATGACAGCCATCATCCCCTTAAACCATATTAAAGGTGTTAAATAAAACTATTTCTACGGATTTTATTGCGTTTCATTTTATTTACTTTTATTCAAGTTTCGCGCGGGAACTAAACGCGTTACAATCCGTAGAAATAGTTTAATTTAATGTGTAGCGATGCATTTCGGCGTGTGCGCAGGAATTGCATAACTTAATTCCTCACTCTCCCTTTCACCATCGGACAACCAAACGCTCGGCCAGTCTCCACCCTTTCGTTGTTGAAATACCACGCATTCGAACCAAACGTTTGCTAAATCGTTCGTCATGCGTACAGCAAAGGAGTGGAATAAGTTGCTAGCATCTGTCTTTCCATCCGATTACAATGCTGGTGTCTTCAAGGCAAGAGTGAATAGGCTTTTGTTAAGGCTACATCACCACTTACCAGGTGGGATAGTAGTTAAGCGCTGACTTAGAATAGTAAAAAAGAAAGGAAACATATCAAAGGTGTATATTTATCGGTATATTTTTTTATAGGATAGGGTGACAAACGAGCACACAGTCCACCTGATGGTAAGTGGTTGCTGTTGCCCATAGACATCTACATCTATCTTCAATAAAGAATCAAAATGCAGATAAGTTGTCACACGTGAGGACTAAGATAGAATGTCTCTTTTTCCAGTAAAAAGGGTCTCTGGTTTTCCACACTCACCATACGAAATACAGCAGTGTTAAGCTGCTATTTTACGTTGGTATTCTGTGAGATTGATGGTCTGAGAGTAGATTCTGATGTATAAGGTAGTAGCTGTTACCCGTCCGCTTTGCTTGGCCTACTAGTGTTGTATCGATGTAAGACCTTCCCAAAACTAACGTTACAAAAAGTATCCCATGCTTTTTTCCATGATAAAATGTACCTGTTAAATGTCATTCAAATTAAGATCCCTTCAGTCGTTTAAGCGTGACTGAATAACGAATATCCGACCAGAGAAACTTGCACATATACAATATATATTATAAATGGACAAGGATTGTACTAAAAAGGGGACTTTTTATAAGAAGTGGGTTATCACTGGATGGATTGGTAAAGGATTATTACAACAGTCTTATATAGCAGTAGTTTCATCCTGAATTAAATGTCCTTTTAGCTGTTAGAGTAGAACGTGCCTTGTTAGTAGATAAGGAAACTTCTCATGTATATTTAAATACTCGTATTTACCGTAGAGTTGATAAAGTCCTTGTTAAATATAACATGAGTTTAAAAAAACTTAAACAACATGCATTGATCGTTGAGCTGTGATGATCCTGATAATTATTTTATTTTATCCTGGTGATCCTGAACAGGATACTGGGATAAAGTTATTAAATTATTGTATTGTCAGCGGTCCAAATGTCACGGTGATACCAGTGCAAATTTTCAAATCAATTGGTCGTCTACAAGTTGGTGAAAATTACATTAAAAGATTCCGTTACATAGATAGATACACGCAAACCTAATAAATAAAATAAGAAAAATTACAAATAATCAGTACCCTAACCTACACCTGTTCCAACATACACTTGATCAATTTTTGCACATTATTACAAGCCAAAGTAGACGATAAATATACGAACATAAGATTTAATTTACCTGACAGCAGATTTTGGTATGGAGCCATATAGCAGAACACTAAGTCCTCTATAGAGCCCGAAGAAGCCATGTCCCTTCACGGTCTTCTTGACGCAGTCGAATATGCCCGCGTACTTTTTAGTACCACCTGGAAGAAATACAGATATTTGACTTTACCGTTACCGTTACAGTTTACTTGAAAGTCGACGGCTGACCTTAGGTCCCCCATAATTTGCTTCACAAAATGTGTTTTAAAAAGTCGCTGCTCTTTAGACTCTGTCTACCCCCTTGGGGATTACATGCGTGGCAATCACAATTGCTGTGGTGTCAGTTCAGAGGGGATTGAACTCAGGTTGAAAATGAAGTTCAAATCTTTAGGTGGGTTACTCGGAAAGTTTTGTGAAATTAAACGAAAGTTCCATGGTTTAAGTTTTTATTATGAAATCTTTTTAAAGAACTCTTTACCATATCTATACAAAATTTCATGCATCTGAACCAAATTTAGGAACATTTTCCAGACTATCTCAGACACCTCTCCTACACCTATCTAAAACTGTGTCCATTTCAGCTTATTTTCAACCGGCTTCAAATAAAGGAGGGGGTATTCAATTCGACTGTATTTTTTATGTGTTACCTCAGAACTTTTTTCTAGGTGAACCGATTTTGATGATTCTTTTTTTTATTTGAAAGCTGGTGCCGAGTGCTTCTCATATGACAGTAGTTTTTGAGTTATCCTTAATAATATGTATTTAATTGACTTCGACTATGTTGATGATGTTCTCATTTTATTTATATTGAAGTCGGTTGTACAAACATTTTAAATTTTACCACTTGTTTGATTTAGGGAATAAAAGTCACACGGTGCTAAATCCGGACTGTAAGGAGGGTGGGCCAAAAGCTTAACTAGTATACCGTCCAGGAAGTCCCCCTGTCCTCCGTTCTAGGATCATCACAGCTCATGATCAATGTGTGTTGTTAAAGTTTTCTTAAACTTATAATATTATTTAATAAAACCAGATATATCAATTTAGCTCGTAGAAAAGTGTGAAGGGAAAATTGAAATCAAAACATTCGTATGCTTACTTTTAAATAATTGTATTTTTAAAATAAATCATAAACGAGTCTCATGCAAAAAACTGTTTTTAGCAAAGAGTTGCGAAAAACAGTTGTAACGACAAGTTAGGTACCTACCTTAAATACTTTTAGAGTTTTGTTTATATTAAGTTGCGTCAACGTTTTCTTACAGGGTAACCGTGAATAGCTCGTGGCAAACTACTGCTGACAAAGGTCAACAACTTCTCAGTTTCTGATTAGATAAGTAATAAATAACTAGGTACATGAAATTATACAAGCTTTAGGAGTAACTCAAATATTTACGGGATTACTAATGAAAGTCGACGTCAATTTACGAAACGCTTAAAGTTGCTCTTTCTCTCTCTCTTCACTATATGACAGTAGAAAGAGACAGGTAGGAGATAATACATAATTAAGGTAGGTGATAGTCAATAATTATAAGTAATGCCGATAGTTCGTACCTTAAGATTTTAGACGGCTCCGTGGCGCAGTTGCTTAGCAATCAGTTGTTGCGCTGGGGGCCGCGGGTTCGAATCCCGCACGGAACAAGTATTTGTATGGCCTACAAATAATTGTTCCGGGTCTGGATGTTTGTCCTTGTGCAATTTATGTTTGTAAACTGCCTCCACGACACAGGAGAAAATCCTAGTGTGGGGGTAACGTTTTAAAAAAAAAAGATAAAGATAAAGATCAGGTTTTCTCAAACTTATACAGGGTAATTTTTCAAAGAGTAGCCAAATTTTAAACTTAAGTTCAAATATAATATAAATAATGATATACCGTTATTGCAGTTTTTGAAAACACGGGTAAATAAGGCTGTAATAAACTTTTATTTGAAATTATCCCAAATAATGGGCAGCAACTACGCGTACGCGCGCTCCTATGTGTGCGATTCAATTCTACCGATCCGATTGACCCTCACGAATGTGTGCGTGAGTAGTAAATTAATATGCGTTAAATATTTATGAATGACAATGATCAAGTTAAAATAATGCATTACCATGCATTTTGAATTTAAAAGATAAAAAGGACAAAATGTTTGAGATCTTTTTAAATTAATTTGTCTTCACCATTTGCCTTATTCTGAACCTTCTCTGCAAATTTGGCCAGTTATTGTAAAATAAACCTGTATATCCCCACGTACCCCTATTAAATAAAAAAGGAGCAAAATGTTATTAATTAGTGTGGTCACAAAATAGCAAGTAATGCGGGCGCTACGCCTTCGCTACGCGGCACCGTTAAAACAATGTCACCTCCCAGCAAGAGATAAGCGGGGTGGTGGTTAGTCTTCTTCTTATTGGTTTGTGGTTTTAGTCGCATGTGTATCATAGAGTATTACTATATTCTAACGGACAAATGGCGTGCAGCATCATGTGTGTAGCACGCGTGAGCCAGTCAGTCTGCCCCAATAACGTAAATGTTGTAGCGAATGCCCTACAATTAACTAGTGAACCCCTACCCATCGTTCATGCACCCTTTGAGAAACCCTGCATGATCTCGTTAAGTGATAGCCTATATGTTATTCTATGTTCGGTGAAAAATAAGTGTATCGCTTAAGTGGAAATTGTTAGGCGGAGCGTGTAACGCTTTTCTGCCGATTTCCAAAAAGGAGACGGTACTCAATTCGACTATATGTTTTTTTTTATGTATGTTACCTCATAACTTTTTACTGGGTAAACCGATTGCGATGATTCTTTCTTTATTTGAAAGCTGGTACTTCTCGTGTGGTCCCATATTTATAGTTATATATTTATATACAAATATTTATATATATATTTAAATATTATATATAATTTGATCAAGGTCAGACCAATGGTTTTTGAGTTATTCTTAATAACTTACATTGAAGTCGGCTGTACAAAATTTTTAATTTTAAATTTTGTTATCATCGCGACCCGATCTACAGGTGACTGTCTGTTTTTTATTACATACATAAATTTATATTTTTCCGTACATACAAGAAGTTCCAAAAAAAAAAACAACGACGGCAGTGTCAAAATATTTGCCTCTTTGTTTGGATCGCGTAAAGACTCGCCACGCTCATCCGTATCGCTCGCTTGCCTTTGCAAAATACGTATTGTTTCCAATCTAGTGGAAGTAGCTAGACTAATTTAGCCAACAGTTAGTTACAACCTATATATGCCCCACTGCTGGGCGCATGCCTCCTTTCATTTCTGAGAGGGTTTTAGGGCAAGGAGATGTCCGCCGCACTCTCCAATGCACGTTGGCGGACTTCAAACGTAATCGAAATATTTTTTTTTCTTATTTCTCAGACATGCAACGTGCATGTCCTCACAACGTTTTCCTTTAGCAATATGTGCTCCCCTGCTCCTGCCCCAATGCTTTGTCAGCTAGTGTAGGTTAGAATTTGCTTCATTAGTCAGCTTTCTAATCCTTCTCATGGCGAAGATTGCAAAAGTTAATTTCAAAGGTAGTTTGTCAATATGTGCTCCCCACAGAAGTTTGGAAATTTGGAATCAACAGAAATTACGATATTTATTGTAATTTCTGTTGATTCCAGTCGAGTGTGCTAAATAAGATAAGTGTAATCTATAAACATTATTTTTCTGCTCTCAAAGCAAATTATTTGCTGCAAGTATTTGGAAACAATACCCATCTCATTTAATGATTGGACTGTTTTTGTGCAGTTGTTTCTTTTATTATACATAACTAGCGATCAGCCTAACTTCGCACAGGTGATCTATACAGGTATAATTGTCAATCTAAACCAAGCAAGGACCCACTCAAACACAAATAAAAAAAATCGATCCAGCCATTTTTGAGTTTTTATGAGACTAACAGACAGTAATTGATTTTATATATAAGAATAAGATATATAAGATAATGAATATGTAGACCAAGAACAAGAAAGGGCCAAATACTGATCCCTGAGGGACCCTCAGTTTTTACACATCCCAATAACACTTCACCATTATTTGCGACCTTTTGCTCTTGGTGAATTATCATATATATTTGAAATTCATGAATCAACATATTATTTTATACATTTTGATTAATAAACTTAAAAGATAGTGGTTTTTTCGTTAGCACTTAAATTATTATTATATCAAAAATATCATTAGTGTATGTCATACTTTGTTCCGAGTTTTTTTAATACAAACCGAAGTGACAAATGAACTTTCAGCTCATCTGATGGTAAGTAAACGACTGTATATATATATATATTTCGTGGTAGAGCCATGCTGCAGCTATATTAGTAGCATAGTTGTAGCACGAATGGGTCGCCTCGACCGGGGAAGGACCACGCTCTCACAGAATACCAGCGTAAAATAGCAGTGTAGAGAACCGGAGACCCTTTTTACTGGAAACGAGGCATTCCATCTTAGTCCTCAGGGGTGACAACGCATCTTTTTTTTATAGGAGAGGGGGCGAACGAGCATGCGGCTCACCTGATGGTAAGTGACTACCGCCGCCCATGAACAACCGCAACACCAGGGGAACCAGGGGAATCGCAGATGCGTTGCCGGCCTTTTAAAAACGAATAGGCTCTTTTCTTGAAGGTCCCTAAGTCGTATCGGTCCGGAAAAATCGCTGGTGGTAAACTATTCCACAAGGAAGTTGTGCGAGGAAGAAAACATCTTCTAAATCGCACAGTGGTGGACCGCCAATCATCCAGATGGTGTGGATGGTATCGAGAGTTCTGCCGCGATGTGCGTTCGTGAAATTTCGCGGCTGGGATTAATCCGAACAATTCCTCAGAGCACTCCCCGTGGTAAATGCGAAAGAAAATGCAAAGAGATGCAACATCTCTTCGTAGCGCCAATGAATCGAGCCGATAGGAAAGGACTCGGTCGTCGACGATTGGAGCCGCTCTGCGCTTGATGCGGTCAAGTGGAAAGAGCTGGCACTGGGGAGCCCCAGCCCAGAGATGGGAACAGTATTCCATGTGAGGCCGAACCTGCGCATTGTAAAGTTGCAGACGTTGTGCCGGCATGAAATACTGTCCCGCTCTGCTAAGCACGCCAAGCTTTTTAGTCCAATTTGGCCTTCTCTTCTAAGTGACCTCGAAACTGCATGTCACTCGATATGTCGACGCCGAGGATTCCGATACTGGCTGAGGCAACAAGGGAAGTGCCTTGGAACTGAGCAGATACGACAAAGGGTTTTTTTTAGCGGTAAACGCGCAAACTTGTGCCTTCAGAGGATTAAATTGGACTAGATTGAGTCGCCCCCAATCCGAGACTTTGTTCAGCAAAGACTCGACTTCAGACACAACTTTGTTCCGGTACTCGGCGACGTTTTCCCGAGAAATATTGGCACGGCCGGTGTATAGAGAATCACCAGTGCTGTCATCCGCATAGCAATGAATGCTATCGGTTTGCAACATATCATTGATTGCAGAAGAAACAGCGTTGGTGATAGCACGCAGCCTTGTGGAATACCAGCGTTAATAGGCTTGTAGTCGGAGCATGAACCGTCTACAACGAACTTGATGCTCTGATCTGCAAGAAAAATGGTGATCCAATTGCACAATTTCTCGGGAAGCCCATAGGAAGGGAGCTTCGAAAGAAGCGCTTTGTGCCAGACCCGATAGAAGGCCTACGCTATGTCCAAACTAACGGTCAATGCCTCCCCCTTGGACTCGATCGCCTGCGGCCATTTGTGTTAGGTAAACAAGAATATCACCAGCTGAGCGACCCCGACGGAAACCGTACTGGCAGTCACTAATCAGCTGGTGCTCCTCAAGGTACCGCATGAGCTGGCAGTTAATAATGGACTCCATTATTTTCGAGAACAAGGAGGTGATGGCGATAGGCCTGTAGTTGGACGGGTCTGAGCGGTCGCCTTTTTTAGGGATCGGGTGGACCAAAGCTGTCTTCCGTGAATTCGGGACTACGCCTTGGGAGTAGGAGTACCGGAAAAGACGCGTTAAAACCGGTGCCAACTCCGGAGCACACGTCTTCAGCACAATGGGAAGGACTTCATCAGGCCCACTCGACATGCTGACGTCCAGGGAGAACAGTGCTTTGCGAACGGAGTGCTGTGTAAACCGCACATCCGGCATGGAGCACTCACACCGGGGGATGGTCGGCGGTGTGTTCCCCCTTCATCTAGAGTCGAGTTGGACGCAAAGAGAGAGCTTAACAGATCGGCTTTCTCCTTTTGCGGCACGGGCCAGTGAGTCGTACTCCCTGTGCAGAGACGGTAGGGATGGCTTACATAAATTCCCTTGGACAACCTTGGCGAGAAACCAGAATGCACGGGTTCCCGAAGGAAGGCGAACTAGTTTCTCGCCAATTCTGCCTATGTGCTCTGACTTTGCCTTGGCAATAACTCTTTTGAAGGACCTGGAGGCGAAGTTATACTTTATTTTAAGCATGCTGGTGTTTATATCCCGAGCCGCCGAAGTCTCAGCTCAGGCCTGAAAGCACTCCTGCTTACTGCGTTATGCATTCTTACAGGAGCGACCAAGCCAAGGCTGAGATCTGCCTCCGATGGGTACCACAGATGATGAAATAAATAGTTCCATTCCCTGTAGCACCACATCAGTGACAGAGTCAAGAACAACGCTGGGATCATCCGGCGAGAAGCAAACCCGCCCCCATGGGTAGGATGCAAAGAAAGGCCGCATTCCGTCCCAATCCGCCGACCTGTAATGCCAAACACGGCGGCAACCTGCAGAACGCAACCGCGAGGTGAGCGTGAGTGGCACCACACTCCGGACCAGACAATGGTCCGAAGAGCCGAGAGGGGCATCGACGGAAACCTGATATTTGTCCGGATGAGGTCAGCAGAAGGTCCAACAGGGAAAGTGTATGATCCTCCACATCTGGAATCCGCGTAGGCGAAGTAACCAGTTGTGTCAGACCATACGCCAAGGCAGTCATAAACAGATCTCCCCGCATGATCGGTTAAACGTGAACCGAGCTATTCGGCGTGGTGGGCGTTAAAATCGCCAAGAATCACGATCTCTGCGGATGGGACCTGTTGTAGCAAGGAATCTGTAGCCATTTGGACGCTCGACGGTCGATGAGTCGGTCTGTTTCGGCATTACCGCTATGGGACCTATACAGGCACCCGTAGACGCGCGGATGGTCGTCGCTATCTACGCGTAGCCAAAGGATGGACAGGTCCGAACCTTCAAGACTGTCGAGGCCTCGAGAACAGATGTCCTCTCTGACGTATATGCAATCTCCAGCCCGAGGCACAAAGGAGTGTTCCAATTTGTACCCCAGGTAGGAGAGATACGAAGTATCAGCTGGAGAGGACACCTGCGTCTCGGTCAGAAAGAGCAAGGCCGGCTGCGCTGTCTTGAGATGGTAGTGGACGGCGTTTAGGTTCGAGTGAAGTCTCCTGATGTTGCACAAATTCACGGATAGCGTGGCAGGGGTCGCCTTGGTCTTGTTGCTCAGTTTGCCCCGAGCAGCTCAGTTTTACGCAGGGCAGCCTGAGCACCCACGCTCAGCAATGGAGTGGCATGGTCGTGGATGGTCAGCGAGGGATTCTCCAGGGGTGCTGGTACCCTCCTGGGGTAGTCTATGATTTAATTCCGCTACCATGTTGATGGGGGGGGGGGGGAATTGGGCCTCCGGTCACCTGCACTCACTAGACGAAACGCCAGAAGCAGAGCTTCTACTTCACGCCGGTATTCTGTGAGGTCGTAATCAGGCTCGAGCCGGCCCATGCGTACAACAGCAAAAGTTGCTGTGTGGCTCGACCACCGTTAAATCTGCATTTTTATTCTTAATTGAGGATAAATGTAGATGTCTATGGGCCGCAGCAACTACTTTCCATCAGGTGGACTGTGTGCTCGTTTGGTACCCTTATCCTATAAAAAAAAAGTGTCTACTGCTGGCCATGGACATCTACAGCCAACTTCAAAGAAAGAAGGATACAGATGTTACCTCTGAGGACTTTTAAGTAATGTCTCACAACCTGTAATTCTTATTTTCTGTGGACCGAAACACAGCTGTGCAAGCTCCTCTGGATATTTGGTGGCAAAAATAGGTACTAAGACTAGATGAAAAATGAGTCCCACCCTCTAGCAAAAATAATAACTTTGTCATTTTTCTTTAAGAATGCACCACTTTGTTTTATGCATGTTATTATAGCTCAAGATGCTATTATAAGTGACGTGCCCGCAATATTGAAGTCTTTGACTAATGTAAGATTCTTCTATATGTCACACACTCACATACCATTTCTACTTCATACCATTGTCTATAAAACAGCTATATTATGGTTGTAGCACGAATGGGTCGGCTCGACTGGGGAAGGACCACGCTCTCACAGAATACCAGAGTAAAATAGCAGCTTAATGCTGCTGTGTTTCATATGGTGAGAGTAGAGAACCAGAGACCCTTTTTACTGGAAACGAGGTATTCCATCTTAGTCCTCACGGGTGACAACGCATCTGCATCTTGATTCTTAATCGACAATAGATGTAGATGTCTTTGGGCCACAGTAACCACTTACCATCAGGTGGACTGTGTGCTCGTTTGTCACCCTTATCCTATAAAAAAAAAGTGGACTTGTATTCCTTTATCGTAAATGTTCATTGTGAAGAATTACTTTTAATAAAAAGTAAAAGCCAACTTCAAACACACACAATTCCAGATTAAACTTATTCATGAGTGTTATTTTTTTTAATGCAATGAAGAATTGTTCAATTGGTACTAGTAAATGTATGATAAGTTATAAGACCTTGACATAAAATTTAAAATAATCGCCATATATTTTGTTAGTAATTGAAACCAATTAGATTCTAATTATAAAGTATACTTTGTAACTATTTACAGTCTGTTATTAAATTATTCAATCTTTTTTTTTGCTATTTGTGTTACCTCATAACTTTTTTCTGGGTGAACCAATTTCAATGATTCTTTTTTTATTTGACAGCTGGTGCTTCTCATGTGGTCCCATATAAATTTGATCAAGGTCTGACCAATAGTTTATGAGTTATGCTTAATAATTTATATTGAAGTTAGTTCTACAATTTTTTTAATATTAAATTATTACATAAATGATGAACTTATTGCATCTTAAATATTGGTTAAATTTATTGATAGTTGTCACAAATTCATGCAAGCAAAACAAATTATAAAATAAACTGTATTTTTGCAGAGATAATTCAAAAGGTGATAAATTTTTTAAAACATGACTAAGCTATCTTTTCATCTAAGAAGATAGTATAACCAATATCACATCAAGATTAGACAAATATGTACCTAAGATTTATATTGCGAAAGAAACTGATATTATTAAAATTTTTAAATGGTTAAGGTTTAACTAACTTTGGTATTATTATGATGATAGACATAATAACTTAAAATGTTCTAATGTAGGTATCATATTATGAACATTTAGAAACAAGAATTAACATTCAAGATCAAAGTCCATTTTAACAATCACAAGCGGTCTTTGCCTTGTCCATATTATTATATCTTATTCATGGAAAAATTTAATGTAAATGATTATGCTAACCTCAAACTATACGTTTTCCTTGTAACTTGATTCTAATTGGATTGGTTTTCAATGACCTGCTGCCAATTTTAATAGTAAATGCTGAGGCTCGTAAGAGTATAATGAAAAATAAGAGCAAAATACTTTTTAAATCTAAAGAAACTATTTGAATAGTAAAATATTGCATGAAACGGAGACCGCTATCCTAATAGCACTTAAATATATTGATTTAAAAATTACTGTTTACAATTTTTAACTGATACTGACCTTTTTCATCTAACTGAAGTTGGGTTTTTACATATTCGGTAGGAAATGTAATACAAATTTCAATGCCACCAGTAATTCCACCGGCTACTACGCCTTTTAAACCAACAGACCCTGAACCTCCAGCCGCAGCCGCTGCACCCGTCTCTGTCATCCATGGTCTTGAGAACGGGTTTTTAAAGTTCCCAGGCCTAGTAGACATTATTTAAATTATTTAGGCACTCGTCGTAATTACGACTGCGGCGCGGAAACCACTCACTCCTACCACAACAAAATACAAACTGAAACTGCCATAGATATAGATTTATAGATAAATATTTTTTTTTTGGAGTTTATGGCCTGGCATCTAGACCTTTAGGCCAAGTCTTGAGTATTTTTATTCGGTTTATTATAATTTCCCCACTGTATTTTTTATGAATTTATATAGAGGCACGTAATAGGATCTATTTTTTAACATATCACTCAGGCGGCGGGAGGGATCTTGCACTGTCACTTGATTTTACACTATGTCACTAATTTCACTGACAAGAATCAATCTGTCAAATGAAAAGCACTCACATGTAAATATGAAATGTTCGATATCACCAACAGAATTATTGCAGAAGGTGCAGTAACTGCTCTCCACTATGCCCAATCGAGCCAGGTGGGCCGGGACGGTGGAGTGACCAAAGCGCAGTCTATTTATAGTGGTAACAAAGTCCCGACTGGCCATTTTCAGTTTGTTATACCATGGTGCTACAGGTAGTTTTTCTTGAACAGTTCCATACCATTTACCCTTCTGTTCTTGATCTTGTTTCCAAAATTCGACCCATAAGCTATTGACCTGGTTGTCAATAGATTGATAACAGTCGGTCAAAGGTACTTTTACTATGGAGCTAACATCCAACATGTTGGTTCCATCACGTGCAATTTTATCTACTATCTCATTTCCTGTTATGCCCCTATGTGATGGAATCCACATGAAAGAAACCTGTATACCCTTTTTTGCATAACTAAATAACAATTTTTTAATATTATACAAAATATAGTTTTTTTTAAAGTCAAATCTGAGATTAGTTAAACTTTGGACCATACTTAAACTGTCTGTTAAAATTAAAAAATTATTAAAACTATTTATATGTGCAATCCTCTTCAGGGCCTCGAGGGCCGCATATACCTCTGCAGTGAAAACACTGCATTTAGGGTCCAGAAGAAAACTTTGACCAAACTTGCATTGTGGATCATAAACGGCACTGCGCACAAAGAGCTCACTTTTGCTACCATCTGTATACAAAGTATAGTAGTTATTGTCGGAAATAAAACTTAATAATTCACAATTATTAAAAAAATTTTTGGTAACAATATTGGTCTCAAATATAATACAGGAATATGGGTATGTGTAGCATGTCCACTTTGATTGTTTAATTACATTTTTAAAATCTTCATTCATTTGCTGTACAATGAGAGGCAAAACTGGAAAATAACCTTGTAAAAGCTCACCTCCCGAAGTCTGCTGGACCGAGCATTGTAAAGGAAAAGGTACTATTTTTTTGAGAACATTATCATTACCAGATACCAGCTTTAGTAAATATCTCTCTATTAGCAGAAGTCTTCTAAGACACAGTGGCATTATTTTGGTTTCAACTTCCATAGCTCGTATGGGAGTTGAACACATAGCCCCAGAAATAATTCGCAGAGCTTTGTTTTGAATTATGTCTAGTTTTTTTACACAACTACTATTTGAGTAGGCTAAACAACTGTAGTCGAAATGGCTTCTGACTATAGATTTATATAGCATACTTAAAACTTTGGGGTCTGCACCCCAAGTCACACCAGCTAAACATCTTATAATATTTAAGCCCTTAAGAGAGTTAGTTGTAATGTGATTGATGTGTAAATTAAAACAAAGTTTGTTATCAATGACAACACCCAGGAATTTATGGTTAGATACAACTGAAATTGGATGATTATTGTAGAGTATGCCATTAGAGGGAAAATCTTTACTAAAAATCATGGCCTTGCTTTTGTTAGGGTTAATCTGTAGAGCCAACTTGTCATTATAATATATGTACAATTGCTCTAAAGCATTATTTATACTATTTACAGCTCTATCTACATTATGGTCTGTACAATATATTACAAGATCATCCGCAAATTGTAAAATATTTACACCTTCTATATTTAGAAAATTAAGAATTTGTATAGTGTATATGTTGTACAATAATGGAGATAATGTAGCCCCCTGCATTGTACCTTTGGAGACCCTTCTGGGACCATGGAGAATATTATTATGCCTTATATACAAAGTTCTATCTATTAAAAAATTAAATAACCAATGGCAAAGTATGCCTGGTATACCAATGTCAGAAAGAACTTGAACCAAAATGCCAGGATCTACATTATCAAACGCACCTTCAATATCCAGAAAAACACAAACACTGGACTTATTATTATTATTGGCATATTTCAGATCTGACAAGAGAGAGATGAAGCTGTGAGCACAACTTCTGCCTCTCCGGAAGCCATATTGAACATGTGGAATGATGTTGTTCGCCTCTACATAACACTCAAGACGCATCTTTATCATGTTTTCATTAAGCTTTCCAACACAAGATGACAAAGATATAGGACGATATGAATTAGGATCTTCAGGTGGCTTGTCAAGCTTAAGTAGAGGGATTACACACTGTGTTTTCCAAGATTCAGGAATTTTTTTAAGTGCCAAAGAGCATTAAGATTAGCTAATAATTTCTTTTGTACGGACTGATTTAGGTTTTTGATCAAAATGTATGGACAATTATCTAAACCAGGGGTTGTGTTTCGTCTGGATTGTAAACTTGTACAAAACTCACTCCAAGTAAAGGGTTCTATGAGGAAACTGGACTTCTGAAGACTATTATTAATTTGAAAATAACTTTCTAGATTATCAATAACCCTACATCCATTTCGAGATAATTTGTCTAAAAGAGGGACTACAAATTCGTCTTTATATGTTCTATTATTGCATTTTATTCGTTTAAATAACTTGATGTATTTCCAAATAATACTAACAGGTGTAGTTCTGTTAAAAGTATTACAGATGTTAGCCCAACCATTGCGTTTATGTTCTGAAATAGTCTTTTTCTTAACAGCATTAAGTCTTTTGTAATTAATGTAATTATCAATGGTTGGATCTCTTCTGTACAGTTTTAAAGCTTCATAAGTTTTAATAACACTCTGTTCACATGTGTCACTCCACCAAGGTGCTGGAGGTTTGCAATGATAGTTGTTTGCTTTGACAAACTTTGGCACAGTATCTCTCCTAAGTGTATCAAGCCTTTCAATAAATTAATCATATGACTGTAATGGATTCTCATTATTAACTTCAAAATTAGAAAAAGCAGTTATAGACAGCTCATTGTATTTTGTCCAGTCTGTCTTGTTGTATAAGAATTTTTCAATGGGAGGATTAATTTGGTATCTATCAACTGACAATAAAACACGAGTAAGCGTAGGAAAATGATAGCTCCCCATACAATCATCATGCACCCACCATTCGCATACTGGAGTGATTGAAGCACTACAAAAGCTGACATCAATAGCCGATGGATTTCGGTTAGGATAATTAATAGTAGTGAAGCTACCATTGTTGAGGACACATAGATCAAATTCATCAATTAAATCGTATAACTGATGACCCCGACTTTTCGTGGTCATACACCCAAATGCCACATGGTGAGCGTTGAAATCTCCAGCCACATAGATTGGCTTAGGCAAATCTCTAATTATATCACGCAGTTTACTTATTCTGAAGTTACCATTCGATGGAGGGCAGTATACACATAAAATCGTTAATTGTTTACCACTTACATATAACAATAATGCCACAGTCTGAATGTCTTGGTAAAATCTGGTTTGAATAATACGAGGGTGGATTGAAAAGTACTCGGCCTAACCAAGAAAATAAACAAATACTAAATCAGTTATATTTTTATTTTTCTACATAATCACCATCAAGTTCAATACACTTTTGCCACCTTCCCTTCCAAGCATTTAGACCGTTGAAAAAAAATGATTCTTCCTTAGAGTCAAAATATGCGTCTACAGCTGTTTGACCTCGTCGTTTGTCGAAAATCTTTGACCTCCCAAGTGCTTTTTTAGGTTAGGGAACAGAAAGAAGTCTGATGGTGCCAGATCAGGTGAATACGGCGGATGCGGTAACAGTTCAAAGCCACAGTTGTGAATTTCAGCCATTGACTGTACTGACGTGTGAACACCTGCGTTATCTTGATGAAACAGGACTTTTCTTCTGAGCATTCCTCGACGTTTTTCTTTTATTTCCTCTCGTAAACGACGTAGTAAGGTGCAGTAGTAATCAGAGTTTATATTCTGACCCCTTTCAAGATAATCAATCATAATTACACCTTTCGAGTCCCAGAATACTGAAGCCATCACCTTATTTGCCGACAAAGTCGACTTAGCCTTTTTAGAGGGTGGTGAACCAGGTCTTCTCCACTGTTTTGATTGTTGTTTTGTTTCCGGTGTACAGTAATGAACCCATGTTTCGTCCATAGTAACAAAACGATTCAAAAAATCATCTGCATCGGCTTCAAATAACTCCAAACAGTCGCGTGAATTAGTCAATCGCGTCCTTTTTTGTTCAACTGAAAGCAGTCGCGGAACCCACCTCGCAGACACCTTGTGGAAACCCAACTCGTTGACAATGATGTTTTGAGTTCGTTCATAAGAGATGCCTATAATCTCGGCTATCTCTCTAATTTTTAATCTGCGGTCTCCCATTATTAAATCAAGTACTTTTTTAATATTTTCGTCAGTAGTTGACGTCGAAGGCCTTCCAGAGCGGGGTTCATCTTTCACACTCTCTCTACCACGCTTAAATTCTGCTATCCATTTTTTGACGGATGAATATGACAGAGCACAATCGCCTAATGTACTGACCATGTCATCATGGATGGCTTTTGATGATAGCCCCTTCTTATGGAGGTACTTAATGACGGCACGCTGCTCGATTTGCTCCATTCGCGGAAATTATGTCCGATTACTTTGTTAATAAATTTATAAAATCACAACTAATTATCGCACACGTTTCGAACTTCACACAATGAACTAGTCTGAACTGAACTAAATAATGTGGGTAGATTTGATTTTTAGAATTGAATGGATCTGTGTTAGGCCGAGTACTTTTCAATTCACCCTCGTATTATATTTAAAATACGGTTTGATCAAAATTGCTACTCCACCATGCTCATTTTGGGCATTATGATAGTGGAAATTATATCCCGAAATGTTAAAATGCTGAGTATCTTTCAGCCAAGTTTCATTGAGTAGACAGATATCAACATTTTGCTCATCTAAAAATTTAGACAATAAGGATTTTTTCCTATGTATACTTTGAATATTGTACTGAGCTATACATAACTGCTGTATGGTCTGTACTGTACTGTCCATTATTGTGACAGATTTTTTAAAAGTAAGTCTTTAATGAACAGTGTAGTCACAGGTTCATTATCTGTTTTATTACCTAATTCGACTAAAGTTTTTGCCATCAAAATATTCTTATTGTTTGCAATTTGAGCCTTAAGTTGAGTTTGGTTCAAGTTGGGTTCAGGCACTGTTTTATTTACATTATTTACAATTTTTACATTTTTATTTAATTTATGTACATTTTGGTTTATTGATGGTAGGGTCTTAACAATGCTGCTCGACTGTGCAGGTAAAGACGGAAAATCAGATGACTTAATTGTATTAGCTACAGAGGCATAAGTAATTTTACCCTTTTTTTCAAGTATTTTTTTTCATTTTTATTGGGCAAGATTTGGAAATGGCCAGGTGGGGACCACTGCAATTGACACAACACAGGTTTTCTTTTTTATCACAGTCTCTGAAATTATGTTCCCCAGCACATATCGAGCAATGTTGTTTACCATTACAAATTTTCGCAGGGTGGTTGAACTTGAAGCACCGGAAGCATTGTTGTAACGGTGGGACATATTCAAACACCCTGAACGAAAATAGGTCATATTGGATGTTGTCGGGCAGAACATTTGATAGGAAAGTTATACTGACCGTCTCGAGACCTACAGTACTTTGACCGACTTTTTTCGTGAATCTTCTCACTGAAATAATTTCATAAATCGAAGACAGTTTCGTATATAATTCCTTGTTCGAAATGTTGGTAGGCACATATCGGATGATTCCAGTTTTTTCTATCTGCGCTGCAGGAATATGCGCCTTCAAGTTGTGCTTTGTTAAAAAGTCTGTATTTGTGATGAAATTATTTGCAGTGTTGTATTGTTTAAAAACAACCGCAATTTTGTTGGCATTGACTCTATGTAAAGCTACCACACCTTTCACCACCGAAGTAAAAATATGATTTAAGTAAACTGGGCTTTTATTTCCAAGTTTAACCTGTTTGTCCTGGCTTTCAACAAAAACTTTGAAGTCCGTATTTGTACAATGTTCAGGATAAAGTCTCAGATAACCTGGCTTAAAAAACGGAATAAAGTCATCCTCACCGCCGCCTACTTCAGGTCCACTTTCCTTCGTACCTCTTTTACGAACAATTTTGGATCGTTTCGGGGTTCTATCTGGATCCTCCGGTTCATTCATTTTAACAATTAACAAAATGTACAATTATTTACACCGAACAGGATATTTTAACGATAAATATAAAAATTAAATCGACCGCCTCGTTTGAAGTTCCCGCCAAAAAAAAAACCCATAGCAAGATTTTTTTTTATAGGAGTTTATGGCCTGGTATCTAGACCTTTAGGCCAAGTCTTGAGTATTTTTATTCGGTTTATTATAAATAATTATCCTTCATAGTTCACTGCTTCACAATATGTTGATGCGTCACATTGTGCAGCCCTTGAGAGATTTTGACGGCAACTTGAGCCAGCAGACAGCTGATAGTTGGCGATGGTATCTCAAGGCGCCTATGCAAACAAACAGCTTATCTTGAGAATCCATCACCATCAGAGCACTTGTTTCACTGTTTCCACTAATAGTTCACATGCGTAGAGAATTAATACACAAAATCGCACCACTTTTACATATGAAAGTCCACTTCAAACCATTATTTAAACAATAATACAGGAGCAGCAAACCGCCGCTGATCAAGTTCCCGCCAAAACTCCCCCATGGCAAATGATATATGACAGCCACAGATTACTGTATACTAGGCGTGTGTATCTCTTTACGGAAACGACTCAATGATACGAATCACTGAAGTGACACAAAAGATTGGTTCAGTAACAACGTTTCAAATGTATCTTTTGGATCTGGAACAGTAAAACATTACTTTGCTCTTTGCTCATTTCGCGCGACGCGTCGCTTGCGAGGCGACTGAGCCACGAGCGAGAGAGAGAGACTGAGACAATGATTAACTTAACTATTGACTCACGAGTGGCGAGTGAGCGGGTGAAATAATTATAATCCACACAAGTCAGATAGAGATAACAAATAAGAAGTGTATCACTCAACTCGTACGGATTTTCGCTGACGTTATTCATGCACGTAAAAATTACCACTAAGGCGCTTATGTGTCAAATAGTATACGGTCGTTTTTTGTATGTAACGTTTGCATTAACAAGTTGTCATTTTACGTTGATGCGGCACTTCTCAAATTGTTTATACTCATTAGCGCCTGTTTACGAAAACATACTGAGTTATGTTTAGGATTTCTTTGCGTAGTGATTATTGTGACTTTACTTTCTTCCTTTTCATCATAAAGTTTAGAGTTATGATACTTTACGAGTAAATTCTGTGTACATAGACATTGCTGTTTTGTGTAAATGGACATTTTTGTAAATAATGAATTGACATAGTGACGTTTTTGTTAAAGTATGAAGGAGAGTCGATTTTATATACAATCTTATTACGGTACACAATAAATAATCTAAGCACTTATATTATTCAGCATTGTTGTCACATAACATTTCACGGATCAGTCAGTAATAAACGCCCGCGACGCAATAACGATATAAAAGAATGTACCTCTACGGAACATTCTTTTATATCTTTTGAGTCGATGATACAAATGAAACATATCAGTGTTTCGGAACATTTCAGTGATCAAGATGCAAATGTTCCAATCGCAAAAGTACACTTTGCCCACCTCCACTGTATACCAGTCTAATGACTCAACATCCCTTCTAAGCACAAAACACAATTACTGCTACGGAGGCTTCTAAGCATGGCCAAAATTGGCGTGTGATCGAATTGGCAATTTTAAGAAAATTGCTATGATCAAACCTCCATAACTTTTTAACCCGAATTTGAAGTATGAGCTGTAAAATTTGTAAGAAACTGAAAACCTCCGGGTTTTTTTCCTTGTCTTGAATTATGTCTAGTTGCGACAATGCAAAGGAAAACCAAGCCATGCTGCAGCTATTTTATGGTTGTAGCACGGATAGGTCGACTCGACCGCGGGAGGACAACGCCATCACAGAATACCAGCTTAATGCTTCTGTGTTTCGTATGGTGAGTGCTGAGAACCGGAGACACATTTTACTGAAAACTAGGCATTTTCTCTTAGTCCTCAGGGGTGACATCATATCTGCATTTTAATTCTTAATCGAGGATAGATGTGGATGTCTATGGGCCACAACATGCATTTATATACTATCAGGTAAACTGTGTGCCCGTATGCCACCTTTATTCTATAAAAAGTGTTAAGTAACTGACCGATCGCAAACACAATTACAAACCCGTTACAAATCGCATATAAATTACTACGCTATTTGTCGTTTTTTATGACATGTTTGGCGAACATAGTCGGCACATTCTTATTTGTCAAAAGTCCCAGAAAAACATGGAACCTATATGACAGCTAACATCCCCCGTCGCCTCTCAACCATGAAGTTATAGATAAAGATGGAGACCACACTCTGAATACGTACTTGAAGCTCAACCTGTGTATTACTATCTCGCTCTCTGTGGGCAGACCCTCTCTTTCTAAGTAGGTAACCTTTATTTTATTTTTCCCAGGATATCGCTATAAGTAGTTGCATTACATTAAGTGGTTTATTTATAAATATTTACATCTCTGTTTACTACTAAGACCTAGCCTATATAGATTATATATATATATATATATATATATATATATATTATATATATATTATATGTACAATTTTTTTGGGAAATTGGTTTTATGAAGAAAGGTTTTCATTTCCATAGGCAGAACCGGTATCTAAAATATGACCACGCATTTCCGTTACAACCCATATAATGCCGAGCCTATTTAGAAAATGCGGAAAATAAATATATCAGAAAATATGTTATTACTACCATTTCGTTAATGTATTTTCTGGATATTGTATACAATACCTAAAAGGTACCAACGAAATATAAAATTAAAATTTATAATAACACCCCGGGTGATCAATGAATTGGGCAAAATATACCTGATTTATTGTTCAGACAGGCTAAATCTATTTCGGGACAATTATTTTAGAAAAATATCACGAGGACTAAAGGAGCGTAGCGGAGCTCCTGCCTTAGCCTTCTGACCTAACCCATCCGAGTCAGGCTGCTCTGAGCAGAAATGTGTATAATACTATATTCCACACATCCTGTTCATTTTACGAATTATCTACAATTCCTAGGAATTCTATATAATAACGGATTTCATAGATTTCTAGTAACATATGTACTATAATAGGAACGATAATATATAAAAAACCTTTAAAAAAATAAAAATACTTTCCATATTAAAATTATTTATTGAAATTTTACACATCATGTGGATAACTCTGTGGCTTTTTTGAAGTCTGACTGACCCGTATACTTTTTAATAGTTGCCGTTAAAGAAGACCTATCCTGAATTTTTTTAGTTTGGCACGCAAATTTTTGCTTAAGAATCTTAGTTTAGGTCTCAAGTATTTCTTCTTTTGTACACTTTATTTTCACTTGCACGTCGTCGTATTCACTGCTGACCTAAAAAACAAGAAAACCTTATGAAATCAGTATTTTTAGCATCGTACTTAGTATGACTCCGCTCATTAGGGTCGTAGCGTGATGTTAGACAGCCTTCCTGAGGAATTGGTTTTAAAAATGCAAAAAAATATTTTCAAATCTGACTGGTATGGTTCCAGAGATTAGAGAATTAAACAAAAAAAAAGAAACAAATAACTCTTTTACGTCATAATGTCAGTGCAAATTTACATCACTTAATAGGTCACTTAGTAGGTTAAACACATAATACACCGGAGCGCGACTTCGTGAACACGCGTAAATGAAGCATCAAACAAGAAGCTTCATGCTTAGTGTCGTAGTGACGGTTACCACACTGCGACTGGCACTAAAGAGTTTAAATATGTATGTGTTTTAAGCTATATAATACATTATGTAATGTAATATTAAAGTCATAATAAATACAAATAAACGGTATGTATTCAGTAATAATGGAAAAGGAAACTTACAGGTAACTTGTTCAGATTGCATAAATTTTCAAGAATTTTTCGACATTGTTTTTACTAGTTTGGTCTTCAATATTACAGCCAGTACATTTCACTCCTGTTTCCTTAAGTGCAGAACTACTTTCATTAATTTCAGAACTACTGCTTGGTACAGCCAGAGAAGCTATTTGCACAATACTCTTCATGTCATTCACTTGTTGTCTGCAAATGATAATATATTTTACAAAATGTTGCTTTATGTATATCATACATTTAAACTACTACATTTCTAAATACATAATATATTAGGAAAAATAGATAATTAAATTATATTAAATTTTTACCTTGCCTGGTGATACTGTTTCTTCATTTCTTATAACAGTAGGAACTGCTGTTGGTTTTAAGCGCCTTGTTGTTGAATCATAATCTGATTCTTGAAAATGCAAATTGCAAATCCTTGCACTTTCATAATACTTCATTTTCAATGGTACAATGGATAACAACAAATTTCTCCGAGTACTGTTTTAGGAAATCTAAAAAAAATATTCGTAATTATTGTAAACGTTATTAAAGTATCAGAATAATGAGAAACAAAAACTAAGTAAAAATAAATTGTCTGCCAAAAGAATATACTGTGTTACTAATTTTTAAATTAATATTATAAAATCTATGAAATCCGTCATTATATAGAATACATAGGAATTGTACATAATTCCTAAATTTCATGCATTTCCGGTAACATAATAAGAAACATGTACATATAATTAGTTAAGGTCACACGGAAAGTCTCAGATACATCGTCAATATGGTCACACTACTTCAGTGCGATTTCTTTTAAACAAAAACAATAAAATTATTCAAAGTCAATTAAATTCAATGCAAATCTATTTGATTTTGACAAAGTTATGATTTACTAATATGTTTATAACACTGATAAAACGTTTCAGCAAAAAATTTAGTGAATATACAAAAAAGTATGTTTACAAGTATTCAATGCCAGAAGTCACTATTTAAACACTTACGTGTGAAATCTTATAAGGTGTGATCCATTTCGAGGTTCCCTACTTTTTTAAAGAAAAAAACACAGAAAATTCAAATTTAATGGAGAATGTTTATTATCATTTGAAAGAACATTCTTCGGCATTTAGTTTTTGAAGATTATGTCTATCAAATGTTGGCCGTTGCTACGTCGCAGATGGTCAATCCGTTGAGTCCAATTTTCGATGACTCGTTCGAGCATTTCGACTGGTAACTGGCGAATGACACGCGTGATGTTTTCCTCCAAGGCCTGAATCGAAGCGGGTTTGTCCGCATAAACTTTAGACTTTACATATCCCCACAGGAAAAAGTCTAACGGTGTGATATCACACGATCTTGGTGGCCAATCGACCGGCCCAAAACGTGAAATTATGTGCTCACCGAAATGTTCTCTCAATAAATCCATTGATTGATGCGATGTGTGGGAAGTGGCGCCGTCTTGTTGAAACCAAATGGCGCCGAGATCACGAGCTTCAATTTCAGGCATCACATAGTCGGTTATCATAGCACGATAACGGTCGCCATTGACGGTTACGTTCGCACCGGCATCATTTTTAAAGAAATATGGACCGATGATTCCACCGGCCCACAAACCACACCAAACTGTTGTTTTTTCTGGATGAAGTGGCAGTTCTTGAATCTGTTCAGGTTGTTCTTCGTCCCAAATGCCGCAATTTTGTTTGTTTACATAACCATTGAGCCAGAAATGGGCCTCGCAACTAAACAAAATTTGCCTCGAAAACGTCGGATCTACTTGGTACTTTTCAAGAGCCCATAGAGCGAAGCGATGTCGCTTGGGAACGTCGAGCGGCTTCAGTTGTTGCACAAGCTGTAATTTGTACGCTTTCAATTTAAGAACTCGACGTAAAATGCGCCAAGTCGTTCCATACGTCAGTCTGAGTTGCTGCGAACGGCGCCGAATCGACTCTCCACGGTCTTTGTGTACACTCTCAGCTACGGCCGCTATATTTTCTTCACAGCGTGCTGGACGTGGTCTATTCGGTCGAATATTATCCAATAATGAATGCTGGGTCTCAAAATGGGTGATGGTGTTGCGAATAGTACGCTCAGTAGGCCGATTATGTTGACCATATGTTGAGCGAAGTGCACGAAACACATTCCTCACGGAACGTGAATTTTCGTTATAAAGTTGAACGATTTGTAAACGTTGTTCAGGCGTAAGTCTTTCCATTATAAAATGCCAAACAATACTAAACAAAAATAAAATGACAGCATGACACGACTCACACGTGACCTGTCAAAGAAAGGCTATTGAAAAAAGTATCTCTACTTGAATCACCTATTATCACTTCCTGGACACCAACTAATGCCGCAACCACGTACTACACTAGTTTGCACCATTTCTTGAATTATAACAATAATTATCTTTAAATATCTCAAACGACGCTGTGAACTGCTAAGTAAACAACCGCCATATTTGTCTAATTTATGTCGACATATAGGGCTAATGTTGCCACATTACCGAACCCTTAGGAAATGGGATTGTAATTCACTGATTTGTTAACCCAATAATGCATACGAGACCTTCAATTTTGGAATATTTAATGTAACTAATCGTAGTTAAACTATTTATTTATTGGAACAATATTTTTCAGAGCTTAACTTCTGATTTGGTTATTGTGGAAATTATTTCTAAGAATTTACCAGGAGATTTAAATAAAAACATAGCAATACTGTATTCCACACTAAAAAGAGAAGTCAGACCACAGAGAATGAGATAAAGATACGTAGGTATTTGACTCAAGCTGTTGTTCCAAGTATGGCCTCCATCTTTATCTATAACTTCATGCTCTCAACATCCCTTCTAAGCACAGAACACAATTACTCCTACGGACTACGGAGCCTTCTAAGCATGGCCATATTGTTTTTGTTTGTTTTGTTTTGTCATTGTCACTGAGCGCTGAGTGATATTACCATTGATATAAGAAAAATAGAGGATAAGCAGTAAATTGCATATATATTTTTTGGTTATACAAATATCATGCAAACATGAACCTTGCCAACAAAAATATATCTGTCTCATTAACACACGTTATGATTTTCAAATGTAAAAAAAGATAAGTACATATCTAATGGCGCCTACACACGCTTGGTGCTTGCCACATACACCATACACGAACAAACACCGACCACATTCACCCAACACAAACACGGCATCCACACGCTTGGCGAACGTTGGCTAGTATATTCCGGATAGGCAAACATGACGGACGACGAGCTTGTGGCAGCGATTACTTTCGGGTTGACCTATTTTTATTTAAAAATAAGGCAATATGAATTGCTCTCAAGGTTACTGTATTGAAGATTTTACACACCATAGAATCTCAAATGAATTCTCAATTATCACTGCTATAAATTGTCTTTAGGTTCAAATAAGTTTGGTTTAAACGCCTTATTCGTATTGCATAACTGATTATTATGTAACAAGTGACTAAATTAATCTCAAAATCGTTCGGGGGAATCGAACCCGAAACTTTCGTTCGACATTATATTGAATCTATTTACTTTTAACATAGATTCTCTTTATTCGAAACGCCTTATACAATTTAATAGCAATATTTTCAAAACGTACAATTGTTTATTTTTTATGGAATGAAAATGATATACTATTTTTTTAAGCGCATTCGCCATAACTAATAGTAGTAATGCATATGAGCCGTTTTCTTCATAAAATGTTTATTTTTAACAGCTTACAATAACATTAAAAAGTTATTAATGCAGCTAGTCTTAGGTCTTTTCTATGAAAATGTAACGAAATTTTTACTAATCCAAGTGTATTTTATAAGTTGGTCAACTATTATTCGTTAACTTAGTGATTCTACGTAGCTGTGATAGTTTTCCTTTTAAGGCCTTAACAGTCGTTGAAATGCCTAAATCTTGGATATTTAAATAAAAAAATCTCAATAACTGTTCATTTAATCCACAAAGAAAAAATACAGGGTAACAGAAGAGGATTTGGTAAATGTTTTTAATTTAACAAAATTGTATTTTTGTCAACCCCTTATTAGAAAAAAAATCCCCAAAGAGTACATATCTTTGTCATATTTTGCAAAATTTCTCCAAAACGGCACAAGCTTTTTAAATAGTTCTTACACTAAAAAAAAGGTCTTAAAAATATTAATATTTTTAATTGAGAGTTTTATTTTTATTACCCGTTTTATAAGAGAATATATCATTTTTCCCTGAAATTGAATATATTTACGTGAGCGCGCATGCTCCGTCGCCATGTAAGCTCTGTCACAGTCCGTTTTCGGACATCGTCGAGGGTGGACCGTACGTCGGTGTTGGAGCGACTTCGTTCAAATATATATTAGTTTTTTAAAAGTTTATACTCAATTATAAATATTTTTATGACTAGAAATACTTAATTTAGTTAATATCTGTACACTGGTTACTGTAAATATTATTTTCTAAATAAATGAATTTTTAAAGTGCCCAAAGAAGAAGAAATTTTCGAGGCGACGTTGATTAGTGAAATTGAAAAATGCATTTTTATATAATTTAGATGTGGAACGACGAACATGGTCTCGTTACTTAGATTTCGATAGTTTTTAATACCTATGTACTTTTATTTTTGCATATTTTTATTAATTAGTTGATACTGAATTTTATAATTATGTATTACAATAAAACGCTGTTTTTATGAGTATGACTTTATAAAATATTATTGGGGAGGGAAATAAAGATACCGATACTTACATTTAGGTACACTGTTATCAAATTAAATCAAACAATTTAAATAAATAAAAGAATGGTGCTTACCTAAGTATAAATAACTATATAAAGACATTCTTGGGTTTATGGTTTTTTCTTATATGTTAGACAAACTATCATCTAAAAAATGTAAAAATTTTAAATTGGAGAGGGGTTTCTCTACGTGATAAAGTTAGAAATGAAGATATTTGCATTAGAACCAGAGTAACTGACATAGCCCAACGGAATATTACAGTGAAATGGCAATGGGCTGGCTATATAACTTGGAAAACAGATAAAAAATAGGAAGAAAGGTCCTCGAGTGGCAACCTCGTACAGGTAAGCGAATTAGTACTCAACCTTTATTCCTCTTCACGTATTCTCATACCCTTTTCTTCACACACACCACACACACACACACACACACACACACACACACACACGCACACGCACACACACACACACACACACACACACACACACACACACACACACACACACACACACACATACACACACGAATAGGTCACAAATAATACTTACCTAGTACTATTAGGCAAGAGTGAATAGGTTTTTGTTAAGTCAGTGCAATTCACCATCTTAGACTACATAACCACTTACCACTCGTAGTTGCATTACTACTTGCTGGGTAGAAATAGTAAAAAAAAAATTTACCCTGTGAAAGTTTGCATTTAGATATAATTTTTCTAACCAACCATAAAAATATGATGAGAATATGTATATAAGTATAAAGGTTGCCTCACACGGGACTGTAATAATATAATATTATATCTTCCATTATCTATCTATCTATCCATTATCTACGCATGAAAACTTTTAAAATCTCTGTATCCCAAGGTATGTTCATATTAAGAGGCTGAATAGAGCCACATTGATATGCATGGAGACCGTTTTGTAATTTCACGTCATTATCGAAAAAAAAATTGTACGTATTTCAGGTGGCGATTTGCAAAACACGATTCCACAAAAATTAACTCAATAGAAAGTAATTGCAAAGTTACTTCTAAAAATACTTAAATTTTCAACGTCAATTTTTCTTACGTGGTAGAGCCATGCTGTAGCTATATTAATAGTAGGTACAGTTGTAGCACGAATGGGTCAGCTTGACCGGGGAAGGGCCACGGAATAACACGTAAAATAGCAGTTTAACCCTGCTGTGTTTCGTATGGTGAGTGTAGAGAACCGGAAAACCTTGTTAATGGAAACGAGGCATTACATCTTAGTCCTCACGGGTGACAACGCATCTACATTTTGATACGTAATCGAGAATAAATGTAGATGTATGTGAGAGTATGGGCCGTAGCAAAGTGGTTGCTACGGCCCATACACATCTAAATGGTAAGTGTACCATCAGGTGGACTGTGTGCTCGTTTGTCACCCTTATTCTATTAAAAAAACCTTTCTGAGATTTCAGTAAAATAATGTTAAGTATTGTAAGCACTCGTACAAGTGTGTGTCTCATGTTAATAAAGCTATTGGACTATTTTGATTTTTAATAAAGTGATTTTACTTTATAGATTAAATAATTTATTTACCCTTCTATATCAAGAACCGTTTTTTTCTGTCACTCCTATTGAATTTGACAGTGCTTGCTGAAATTTAGCGTCTTTAGATGGATCAGAACCGCGCGCTGATCCGGCTGTTAGATATTGCAAAAATAATCGAAAATATTTATTTTTACTTTCGTGCCGAAGACTACCTTGTTTTATTTTATTACGGTCAAATAATATTTATTAGGTTATAAAGCAAGTATTTTTGTAAATGTTGTGAATGTAAATGTTTTTACATTTATATGTAAAAACATTTACATACACAACATTATAGTTATTTTTTCAATATTTTGTTATTATATTGTTTACAGTTATTATCACGTCTTAGCTTTACACCAAGAATTACATTAGAAATTCTTGATGGGATGCGATGTAACGAGCATACATTATTTTCATCAAGAACTATAATATATATATTTGTTTTTTTTTTACCAGTAGAGTTTCAACAAAATCTTAAAATTTTGATTAATTTAATTCGAGACTAAAATAAATGTGAAAGGGCTTTTATCTGCAATAATAATTTTCATCAAAAATAACATAGACTTATAAAAGTCATATACACGGTCAATCATACTGAAGATTATCAATTGTACTACAAAATACTTAAAAGACTATTTCCAGTATAATGACCCGAATATCATCATTAATGTTTGACTGGCACACTTAAAAGTTTTATCACATGGCTAAATGATTGACTTTTATATTATGATAAGGTCATGCTTTTCTATAAAAAGTTGCAAGAAATTTTAAATCACGGCCCTATTGGTTTGTTTTACTTTTTACTTAATTAGTGAAAAACAAGATGGACTGATCTAAAAGTTTACTTTCTTGTGTAAAAGGTGCTATTTAGAATTTTATGCAAATGATAATTAAAGTTTCTATGTAAATAAGTGTAACATAGCGGGTATTATATTCAATGGTAGCGGCCATCCATATTTGCAAAGCCAGCATCATTTTCTGTACAGAAACCGGCAAAGTGTTGCTCAAGGCACTATAAAAAAGCAGCTGATAAAATGTTACACTCATAACTGTTAACAAAAACTGTTTCCGTAAATGGTCTTATAGATAATAATAACTATTCCGCCGTGTTAGGTGCAGGGGCTATTATTAGAAGGAGAAGAGGTAAAATTTTGTTTTAGAAATGCGCAATCAAATCACAGCATAAAATAAAAATAACTTCATCCAAAGAGCATAACTGGCATTATACTCAGGCCCATCAATTAGTATGGAAAAAAATAATTTTACCAGGTTTCAAAAAATCAATCAAAATTCAAAAAACATAAATATTAAAATCAAAAAATGTATATATGTATGTCTATATATACATATAATGATTTATGGCCGCTTAGTAACTGACGGTGACTCACTATAACATCCTACAGTCACGCCGAAACTAAGAGGAGAGAATCACTGTAGAAAAGGTAATAATTTATTGCAGAAATTTTGTGATAAAATTAAAAAAAATTATAAACTTATCCAAGTTAATCTAACTTAGTCTAACTTATCCTAATGCGTTACAAAAAAAAAACAAATAATAAAATAGTGAGATGGCGTCAGTTTTTAAGAAGATATAACAAAAATAAACAAAAAAATAAATTTCAAAAAAGTTCAGTATTTAATTGATTATATACCGCTGAAACTTAATCACGCTTTTCGAAACCACGCCAGTTGTAAACAATACTTGTGTGAAAAGACAAAATCTTCTTTTCAAATTTCCGCCGAGTTGTAACTAGAAGGCCAAATAGGTCATGTGTCAATTTTAATTAAATATATTTTATAAGAAGTGATCTTGACTACGTTTTATCAACTAACCAATGGTAAAAATTAAAACAGAAATTTTACAATTGTGTTTACAAAAAACACTATTAGTTGAACCTTGCAGCTTGTTCATTATTTTTACTATAAATACCTATAAATGTATAAATTATTAATAAATAATTCCTATAATATTTTGGATTATTTTTTATTTTGCCCTATCTGCAATGTTCTACGCTCTATAGAAAATGTGGCGTATGACATGACTGACAATCTTTCGAACGTTTTATCTAGGTACAAAGATGTTTTACGTTTTCGTCGCCTCCACATGATATTTTTGTTAGCATAAGGTACCCTTCTATATCTGAAACGAATATAAATATTGCTACAAAGTAAAGTAATAGGCTATACAAGTATACTGGGCACAGGACTCTTTTTTTATTTCTGAGAGGGTTTTAGGGCAAGGAAATGCCCGCCGTGCTTCCCCAATGCGTGTTGACAAAAATTGCAATAACAAATTTCATTCGTGCTGTCGGGGATCAAACACGGTAAAATTTACAGCGAACGCTTTGACCCAAATCTACTAATACGATACAAATAAATACGATTTAACATATAAAATAAAAAACTCTTACGTACTTGAAACTTGAACACTTGATAGCTCGTGACGCCTACCGGACAAAGCTACAGAACAATGTAATTGAAGATGCGTAACCGCGACATAATTCGCAGTGATGCGCAAGCATAACAGGCAGTATGTCACTTATATAATTGTCATCTCTGCAGTCTATTAATCTTTGCACTTTTATAAGTAATACAGAACGTAGTTGCTAGACGGTGTTAGCGTCGGCTAAAATCTCTACGATCGCCGTTTCGTCAAGGTCATTCAGGCTAGTTAAAGCCTTAACTGCATTATATAAACTACTATTGGGTATACTTTTCACATTTCGATAAAGATATGTTAAGTTGGTAGAAGGGGGGGGGAGGGGGGGGGGGAAATAGCACTTTAAAACTAAATATTTCACAAACGAACCCCTGAATCGAAAAGATGTTGTTCAACACCCCCAATGTTTTTGAAAGACCTATCCAACGATACCCCACATGATAGAATATAGACACGTAAAAAAATCATCCTCCATTTACTTGTATGGGAAGTACCCAAAATAAAAATGTTTTTTAAGATTTTATTTCACAGTTTTCTAGGCGTGATTAATATTTATAACTGTGCTAAATTACAGATTTGTAGCACCTAGGGTCTGAGCAAAACCGCGGACCGACGGACGGACTGACATAGCGAAACTATAAGGGTTCCTTATTGTGTAACTACGAAAGTCTAAAAACGATTAAATCAGGATATACTAAACTTATCGATGGATATACTAATCTTATATAACTTCTTCGGATTTTATTTTGGGAATTGATGATCAATGATCCTGCTTTCACACGGGGCTCCTTATAAAAAGAGGTGAAATATTTGTTACCCAATAGAAACATTAATTAGGAGTCAATTACATTATTATTAGGTTTCTAGAAAACTTAAAAAAAATATAGGTGGTAGATCTACTAACTTTTCGAAGTAGAATTGGTAGGAAACTCAACTTCTGAAATCATATTTACCTCCGAGACAAATTTCGGATGGGTAACATTGGCGTAGAGTGGAGTATAATAATAATAGCCGCTAGTAACTCCTTCCGCCGCCCGCAAGCCGCAAGCTCGCGCGTACTGCTGACTGATCGTCAAACGTGTGGATACATCGCAAACACGTTTGTCGAACACCCTTTGATCGATGCATAAAAACCGACACCAACGCCGATCACTGACAATCACATACAAACAAACAGGCGAACAACCATCCACACGTTCGTGATTGCTGTTTGGTGTATGCTGTTTGCCGTTGTTTGCCAAGCGTGTGGATGAGGCATTAGACTTCAATTTTCTGTTGACAGTTTTCATAATTTCACTAAGCTCCACCTTGAAGCATGACCGCATGATGCCATTTTAGGATGACGTTCATTTGTGATAGTTCGTCTGTCATCTAAGCCTTGTTCGGAGTTATTTTGCAG